TAAGACACGGGACGGGATTTGTTGGGGGGGGATTTTGATAGAAAAAAAAACAAGTGGTAATCCCAATTCATCTGAAACCCTTCAAAATAATAGAAAGGGACGGAAGATTTACAACTCCACATTTACATTCTAATCATTCAAGCTTTAAAGCTCAGGATAAACATTATATGCAAAAGAGCTACTGAGATATAACAGTTCACCGTTACCAGTCCATTAGTGTTAACCACAAACACACTCATTTCAAAATGAACATCGTACAAATCGTGCATAAAGTTGTAACTTTACCCCTAAATGGTCCATAGTTGTACCTTGAGGGTACGTGTTACTCCAAGGACCCTTTTAGGAACAGATTTGTCCCTTTACTGTGCCAGTGACAAGCTTTTATACCTCTAAAGGTAACATTTTTGACAGTGACCTATAAGTTTTATCAAACTATAATTATAAAACGGATATTTCCCAAATCTAAATTCTGATTGGTTGAGCCACGCTTGAAGCCATTATAAAATGCACAGTCTATGGCACACAAAGCGCTCTGGCTGTTTGACAACCATAAACGAGCCAAACTGTTTTATTCTGGTCTATTGCTATTAATAAATGTAGCACATTGGTGTCTTTTATCATGTTGTGCCACCGCTGAGTGTTACAGTAATGTTATGGTGATGTTACAGAAATGTTACAATGATGCTGTGGAGATGTTTTGGAAATGTTACGGTGATGATACAGTAATGTTATGGTGAGGGTTATTGTGATGTTATACGGGATATTACAGTAATGTTATGGTGATGTTACAGAGATGTTACGAGATATTATAGTAATGTTACAGAGATATTACAGTGATGTTACGGAGATGTTAGGGGATATTACAGTAATGTTATGGTGATGTTATGAGATATTACAGTAATGTTATGGTGATGTTACGAGATATTATAGTAATGTTACAGAGATATTACAGTGATGTTACGGAGATGTTAGGGGATATTACAGTAATGTTATGGTGATGTTACGAGATATTACAGTGATGTTATGGTGATGTTACAGAGATGTTATGGGATATTACAGTAATGTTATGGTGATGTTACAGAGATGTTATGGGATATTACAGTAATGTCATGGTGATGTTATGAGATATTACAGTAATGTTATGGTGATGTTACGAGATATTACAGTGATGTTACAGAGATATTACAGTGATGTTATGGTGAATTGATGTTACAATGCTGTTACGAGATATTACAGTAATGTTATGGTGATGTTGCAGAGATGTTACGAGATATTACAGTAATGTTATGGTGATGTTACAGAGATGTTAGGGGATTTTACAGTAATGTTATGGTGATGTTGCAGAGATGTTACGAGATATTACAGTGATGTTACAGAGATATTACAGTGATGTTATGGTGAATTGATGTTACAATGCTGTTATGAGATATTACAGTAATGTTGTGGTGATGTTGCAGAGATGTTACGAGATATTACAGTAATGTTATGGTGATGTTGCAGAGATGTTACGACATATTACAGTAATGTTATGATGATGTTACGAGATATTACAGTGATGTTATGGTGATGTTGCAGAGATGTTACGAGATATTACAGTAATGTTATGGTGATGTTACGAGATATTACAGTAATGTTATGATGATGTTACGAGATATTACAGTAATGTTATGGTGATGTTGCAGAGATGTTACGAGATATTACAGTAATGTTATGGTGATGTTGCAGAGATGTTACGAGATATTACAGTAATGTTATGATGATGTTACGAGATATTACAGTAATGTTATGGTGATGTTGCAGAGATGTTACGAGATATTACAGTAATGTTATGGTGATGTTGCAGAGATGTTACGAGATATTACAGTAATGTTATGATGATGTTACGAGATATTACAGTGATGTTATGGTGATGTTACAGAGATGTTACAAGATATTACAACAATGTTACGAGATATTACAGTAATGTTATGGTGATATTACAGTGATGTTACAGAGATATTACAGTAATGTTATGGTGATATTACAGTGATGTTACAGAGATATTACAGTAATGTTATGGTAAATTGATGTTACAATGCTGTTACGAGATATTACAGTAATGTTATGGTGATGTTGCAGAGATGTTACGAGATATTACAGTAATGTTATGGTGATGTTACGAGATATTACAGTGATGTTATGGTGATGTTACAGAGATGTTACAAGATATTACAACGATGTTACGAGATATTACAACGATGTTACGAGATATTACAGTAATGTTATGGTGATATTACAGTGATGTTACGAGATATTACAGTGATGTTATGGTGATGTTGCAGATGTTTCGAGATATAATAGTGATATTACAGTGATGTTACAGGGATATTACAGGGATGTTACGAGATATTACAGTGATGTTACAGGGATGTTACGAGATATTACAGTAATGTTATGGTGATGTTACGAGATATTACAGTGATGTTATGGTGATGTGACAGAGATGTTTCGAGATATTACAGTGATATTACAGAGATGTTACGAGATATTACAGTGATGTTACGAGATATTACAGTGATGTTACAGGGATGTTACGAGATATTACAGTGATGTTATGGTGATGTTACGAGATATTACAGTAACGTTATGGTGATATTACAGAGATGTTACGAGATATTACAGTGATGTTACGAGATATTACAGTAACGTTATGGTGATGTGACAGATGTTTTGAGATATTACAGTGATATTACAGAGATATTACGAGATATTACAGTGATGTTATGGTGATGTTACGAGATATTACAGTGCTGTTATGGTGATGTGACAGATGTTACAATGATGCTGTGGAGACATTGCGGTGATGTTACGGTGATGATACAGTAACATTATGGTGAGGTTATTGTGATGTTCAAATGATGTTACAAGATATTACAGTGCTGTTATGGTGATGCTGCAGAAATGCTACAGAGTTGTTGCTGTGATGTTATATGATGTCAACAGTGATGTAACGCTGATGTTGTGGTGAGGTTTATGGTGATGTTACAGTGATGTTGCAGAGCTGCTAGAGAGATGTTACAGTGACGTTATGGCGAGGTTACAATAATGATGTAGTGATGTTGCAGAGATGCTACAGTAATGTTGATGGTATTGTGATGTTGAGGAAATGTTCTGGTCATGTTATGGGTAAGGGCTGTTCTCAGGCATAATGTAAAGCAGAGCTTTTTGCGTTATTTAAGCATTGTTCACCAGTATGCAGTTTTGGTTACTAATCAGTTTAAAACTCGCATATTAAATGTTGATATTCTATCATTATTTCTATCAGTTTTGCACTGTTCTCGAGCATGCCGTTTTGGTTACTTACTAATCAGTTTAAAAATCACATATTACATGTTGATATCATTATTTCTATCAACCCACACATGTCCAGTGTGTAAATACAAGCACATCAGGCCACCACAAAAATATTCCCTTCAGTTCAACTCTAAGTGTGGAACCTGATCAGTGTTTCCCTTGCAGCGGTGCGTGAAACAGGAGTGAGAGAGCAGGTGACGCCGCAGACATTTCAGGGATTAAAAGACACCCTGGGTGCGTTCCAATACACACATGCCCTGAAGAACCACCCATGTGTGAATTACTGATGTCATCTGATCTGGGCTGCAAAGTTCAGGCATCACACAGGATCAACGCCAGTACAAAACGATTCTCAGTGTACCTCAGTTTTTCAAAAACATCAAAGTGTAAATGTAATTTTGGTGGTGTACATTGTCTATATTAGTAATGCGTGGGCTTTTTAAATCAACAGAATTACTACACAATTATACATTTTCATGGATCAAGGCAGAAATCTTTGTGATTTTCCCCCAGCCCTACATCTATCAAATCACTTAATCATGTTAGTTTGAAAAGGCCTTAATGTTTCCATCCCTGTGCTTGTGTGCAAGTCAACCTGAAGATAATGGGATTTCTTCTGTTTCTTGCTAGTTTCGGCCCGGCATCACCTGAACATACGGCTGCACGATTAAATACAAAAAATTGTGATTTGCTTGAGTGTATTTATCAAATCTCAAAAGCTGAGATTTAATTAAATAAGTTAGGGATGCATGATGTATCGGCCACCATTTCAGTATCGGCCGGATATATGTTCATTTTTAATGTTATCGATATAGGCCCAATAAGACAATCTGGGCTGTATATTAAAGCCGATAAATAATGTATGATTTCCTTTAGCTGAGACACTTCAGATGCGCACTGTTCAACATGATGCTTTAAATTGCTTGAAATATGATTGGAATCACTTCAAAAAGGAAAATACTCTAAAAAATTATATAAAAATTCAGATTTAGATTTATCAGCCAATATATCGATTATCGGCTTTCAAATATAAAGAATTATCGGTTTTCGGTATCGGCCAGAATTTTCATATCAGTGCATCCCTAAAATAAATATGTGATGCGTGTTTCAGGGAAAATGCAACGTGTCTTCCTATACTTACTGTACATTACAGTAAGATACTACAATAGTAATCTTTCTAATTTTGTTATTTAGTAATGTTAATATTTTTATTTAGTAATAATAATACATTTAATAAATTATCATTATTTTTTTATAGCCATATTGATACATAATCAACAAACACTGCGAAATGCTTTTAAAATCGCAATCTTCAATCAGAAAAATCAGGTAACACTTTAATTTACAGTGTCCTTGTTACACGTTACATGTACTTACCATAGTACTAACAGTAAATTATGCATAATTACATGCAACTAACCCTCAACCAAATCCTAATCCTACCCTAACCCCCTAGTAAAGACATGTTGTTAATTAATATTACTCAGTACTCAAATGTATAATTACACTGTAACAATGACACCTTAAAGTAAAGTGTAACCAAAAATCGCTATTAGATTGTTTCCTCTAAATCGCGCAGCCCTGCCTGTCTAAAAGCAGGATCGGTTTAAACACTCAATAGTGGCTGGACTGCTCAAGCCCTGCCCGGTTTAAAGGCCGTCACCCACCGATCGCTGCCACTTTGATGAGTCGGGCGTCGAGGCCGCTTGATATAATCTCTCTGAGCAGCTCGGCCTGGTCTCGGCGCCACAGGTACGCCAGCGGCTGGAGCTCAAGCCTCGCACACCTGCGGAGAACACACACACACCACAAGTGGAGAACAGAGAGGAACAATGCAAACTGAGCAGGCGTGCAAGAGGACATGATGGATGTGAAGGGAAGAGAGGGCGGCACTCTGACACCACTTCAAACACTATTTGTTAAAGGGGTCATCGGATGCTCATTTTCCACAAGTTGGTGTGATTCTTTAGGGTCTGCGTGTAAAGTTTGTAACATACTTTGGTTAAAATTCCTCAATGGTTGTGTAAAACAACACCCTTTTACCTCCTCAAAAACAGCTCTGTTCACAGCGACCCGTTTCAGTGCTTGTCTCTTTAAATTATAGTAATAATAAACAGTTCGTCAGTGGTCGAGGGCGTAAATATGCTAATACGGGACAGTCCGTCAGTGGTCGAGGGCGTAAATATGCTAATACGGGACAGTTAGTCAGTGGTCGAGGGCGTAAATATGCTAATACGGGACAGTCCGTCAGTGGTCGAGGGCGTAAATATGCTAATACGGGACAGTTAGTCAGTGGTCGAGGGCGTAAATATGCAAATACGGGACAGTCCGTCAGTGGTCGAGGGTGTAAATATGCTAATACGGGACAGTCCGTCAGTGGTCGAGGGCGTAAATATGCTAATACGGGACAGTCCGTCAGTGGTCGAGGGCGTAAATATGCTAATACGGGACAGTCCGTCAGTGGTCGAGGGCGTAAATATGCAAATACGGGACAGTCCGTCAGTGGTCGAGGGTGTAAATATGCTAATACGGGACAGTCCGTCAGTGGTCGAGGAAGTAAATATGCAAATACGGGACAGTCCGTCAGTGGTCGAGGGTGTAAATATGCTAATACGGGACAGTCCGTCAGTGGTCGAGGGCGTAAATATGCTAATACGGGACAGTCCGTCAGTGGTCGAGGGCGTAAATATGCTAATATGGGACAGTCCGTCAGTGGTCGAGGGCGTAAATATGCTAATACGGGACAGTCCGTCAGTGGTCGAGGGCGTAAATATGCTAATACGGGACAGTCCGTCAGTGGTCGAGGGCGTAAATATGCCAATACGGGACAGTCCGTCAGTGGTCGAGGGCGTAAATATGCTAATACGGGACAGTCCGTCAGTGGTCGAGGGCGTAAATATGCTAATACGGGACAGTTCGTCAGGGGTCGAGGGCGTAAATATGCCAATACGGGACAGTCCGTCAGTGGTCGAGGGCGTAAATATGCCAATACGGGATAGTCCGTCAGTGGTCGAGGGCGTAAATATGCCAATACGGGATAGTCCGTCAGTGGTCGAGGGCGTAAATATGCCAATACGGGACAGTCCGTCAGTGGTCGAGGGCGTAAATATGCCAATACGGGATAGTCCGTCAGTGGTCGAGGGCGTAAATATGCCAATACGGGACAGTCCGTCAGTGGTCGAGGGCGTAAATATGCCAATACGGGATAGTCCGTCAGTGGTCGAGGGCGTAAATATGCCAATACGGGACAGTCCGTCAGTGGTCGAGGGCGTAAATATGCTAATACGGGACAGTTCGTCAGTGGTCGAGGGCGTAAATATGCTAATACGGGACAGTCCGTCAGTGGTCGAGGGCGTAAATATGCAAATACGGGACAGTCAGTCAGTGGTCGAGGGCGTAAATATGCTAATACGGGACAGTCCGTCAGTGGTCGAGGGCGTAAATATGCCAATACGGGACAGTCCGTCAGTGGTCGAGGGCGTAAATATGCCAATACGGGACAGTTCGTCAGTGGTCGAGGGCGTAAATATGCTAATACGGGACAGTCCGTCAGTGGTCGAGGGCGTAAATATGCTAATACGGGACAGTTAGTCAGTGGTCGAGGGCGTAAATATGCCAATATGGGACAGTCCGTCAGTGGTCGAGGGCGTAAATATGCTAATACGGGACAGTTCGTCAGTGGTCGAGGGCGTAAATATGCAAATACGGGGCAGTTAGTCAGTGGTCGAGGGAGTAAATATGCTAATACGGGACAGTTAGTCAGTGGTCGAGGAAGTAAATATGCAAATACGGGACAGTCCGTCAGTGGTCGAGGGCGTAAATATGCTAATACGGGACAGTCCGTCAGTGGTCGAGGGTGTAAATATGCTAATACGGGACAGTCCGTCAGTGGTCGAGGGTGTAAATATGCTAATACGGGACAGTCCGTCAGTGGTCGAGGGCGTAAATATGCTAATACGGGACAGTCCGTCAGTGGTCGAGGGCGTAAATATGCTAATACGGGACAGTCCGTCAGTGGTCGAGGGCGTAAATATGCTAATACGGGACAGTCCGTCAGTGGTCGAGGGTGTAAATATGCTAATACGGGACAGTCCGTCAGTGGTCGAGGGCGTAAATATGCTAATACGGGACAGTTCGTCAGTGGTCGAGGGCGTAAATATGCTAAGACGGGACAGTCCGTCAGTGGTCGAGGGCGTAAATATGCTAATACGGGACAGTCCGTCAGTGGTCGAGGGCGTAAATATGCAAATACGGGACAGTCCGTCAGTGGTCGAGGTCGTAAATATGCAAATACGGGACAGTTCGTCAGTGGTCGAGGGCGTAAATATGCAAATACGGGACAGTCCGTCAGTGGTCGAGGGCGTATATATGCTAATACGGGACAGTCCGTCAGTGGTCGAGGGCGTAAATATGCAAATACGGGACAGTTCGTCAGTGGTCGAGGGCGTAAATATGCAAATACGGGACAGTCCGTCAGTGGTCGAGGGCGTAAATATGCAAATACGGGACAGTTCGTCAGTGGTCGAGGGCGTAAATATGCCAATATGGGACAGTTCGTCAGTGGTCGAGGGCGTAAATATGCTAATATGGAACAGTTCGTCAGTGGTCGAGGGCGTAAATATGCCAATATGGGACAGTTCGTCAGTGGTCGAGGGCGTAAATATGCTAATACAGGACAGTCCGTCAGTGGTTGAGGGCGTAAATATGCCAATATGGGACAGTTCGTCAGTGGTCGAGGGCGTAAATATGCCAATATGGGACAGTCCGTCAGTGGTCGAGGGCGTAAATATGCCAATATGGAACAGTCCGTCAGTGGTCGAGGGCGTAAATATGCTAATACAGGACAGTCCGTCAGTGGTCGAGGGCGTAAATATGCCAATATGGGACAGTTCGTCAGTGGTCGAGGGCGTAAATATGCCAATATGGGACAGTTCGTCAGTGGTCGAGGGCGTAAATATGCCAATATGGGACAGTCCGTCAGTGGTCGAGGGCGTAAATATGCCAATATGGAACAGTCCGTCAGTGGTCGAGGGCGTAAATATGCTAATACAGGACAGTCCGTCAGTGGTCGAGGGCGTAAATATGCCAATATGGGACAGTCCGTCAGTGGTCGAGGGCGTAAATATGCCAATATGGGACAGTTCGTCAGTGGTCGAGGGCGTAAATATGCCAATACGGGACAGTTCGTCAGTGGTCGAGGGCGTAAATATGCCAATATGGGACAGTCCGTCAGTGGTCGAGGGCGTAAATATGCCAATATGGGACAGTTCGTCAGTGGTCGAGGGCGTAAATATGCCAATATGGGACAGTTCGTCAGTGGTCGAGGGCGTAAATATGCCAATACGGGACAGTTCGTCAGTGGTCGAGGGCGTAAATATGCCAATATGGGACAGTCCGTCAGTGGTCGAGGGCGTAAATATGCCAATATGGAACAGTCCGTCAGTGGTCGAGGGCGTAAATATGCTAATACAGGACAGTCCGTCAGTGGTCGAGGGCGTAAATATGCCAATATGGGACAGTCCGTCAGTGGTCGAGGGCGTAAATATGCCAATATGGGACAGTTCGTCAGTGGTCGAGGGCGTAAATATGCCAATATGGGACAGTTCGTCAGTGGTCGAGGGCGTAAATATGCCAATATGGGACAGTCCGTCAGTGGTCGAGGGCGTAAATATGCCAATATGGGACAGTTCGTCAGTGGTCGAGGGCGTAAATATGCCAATATGGGACAGTCCGTCAGTGGTCGAGGGCGTAAATATGCCAATATGGGACAGTTCGTCAGTGGTCGAGGGCGTAAATATGCCAATATGGGACAGTTCGTCAGTGGTCGAGGGCGTAAATATGCCAATATGGGACAGTCCGTCAGTGGTCGAGGGCGTAAATATGCTAATATGGAACAGTTCGTCAGTGGTCAGGGCGGAGCATGAGAAATATGAAATCATATTGCTCAGAAAATCCGAACGGCTTAATTATCGAGAGTGTATTATTGTGTATTATAGATGTTATTCGATCTGTGTCATCAGTGTTTGCGGCGGCCATATTGTTGACATAGAAATCACGGCAACTGTCAGTCTGTCAATTGACAAGTATGGCAGCGTCGGCATTATCCATGGTATTATCACTGTATTTTTTTTTTTAAACAGCGTGATGGTGTGTTGTGTAATACACGTCTGTTCTAACAACAGTAATAAGAACCCCGGAGTTAGTTTTTATGATTGCGATAAGTTACCGTACCGACTGTCAGAAAGCGTGAAGGGAAGGAGACAGAGTTGAGCCAGCGCAGGAGAGGCTAGCTAGGATAAATAGGCTAAACTTTCAGCCAACTCACCACAGAAAAGTCTGTTCCCATCCTTTTACCACAGGTTTCACACATAATCCGTGTCTACGGTACAGAAGCAGGACGCGCTACACTGCTTTAGTGCTATTATATGCTGCGTTTGCAGTGCGTAGCTAACTGATCCGCGGCTGTAACGTTACCACAAACACACTCAGGGACGTGCACAGGAATTTTGAGGGGCAGTTGCTCTGACCTGAAAAAAGGGCACCCCCCCCCCCCCCCAATAACATATTATTGTTTATTGTTTTTTATTTTATTTTTATTTGAAAAGAAATAATCTGGATTGAATGGAAAAACTCGCTTGTAATAAAAAAAACAACGCTTAGATTTTGGGAAAAAATACAATCCTTTTTTAACCTTTTGGCTTCCCGTACATTCAGTTGTGCTTCTTGCTCGTATTCAGTTGTGATGGTAGGCTACGGGCAACTACGCATGATTTGTAGTATGATTGCGTAAAGGGAACAGGAATTCCGGTAGGGAACAGAATCGACTGCTACACCCAGTGCTGATCCTGACCTCCCCCTGGGGCCCTAAGGGGTCCTGTACCTGTCCCGTGATGTCGTGAGCTATGTAAACCATTTGCCATTGCCACAGTCACACCTGACACTTCAGCGCCCCAATACAATCCTCCCTCCTTTAAACAAAACAGTCAAAGAATAAGTACAACAATATAGAACAGAATGAGGTTCAAACAAACAATATTTATTGAATAGAGTATTTTCTATAGAATGTTAAGATAACAAGTGAACATTAACGTAAACATAAATAAGAAGAAAATAATAAATTATAACCCTGAGCTTTGGCTTTTGGGATTAACTTTGGTTCTCTCTACAGCCTGGGTATTTTCGGCATCAGTATGATTGTTTTATTTATTATTATGCATGTTGAAGCAATTCTTGATTTATGGTTATTATTTACTGAGGGGTGTGCATCCATATTGACCAGTATGTCCAGCTAATCAACATTTTAAATTCAATATAGCCTATAAATCAATAGTCAATCAATGTCAAATTGTCAATACATTGCTTTCTATCTTGCATAATTAGTGCAGTTGTTTAGAGTTTTTAACACTGAGACTAGATAATCAGTGTCTTGTTTTAAACGTATAATGTGTACTTTGATTGCGAGTGCCATCATTCACGTGCATGTATTGTACAGTATGTCTGGTCTCCACATATTCTGCTTGAAAAATGCACGTTTCACTTCGTGCACGCGCATATGAACGCATGATAACACCATGGATAACACACGCGACGCGGTTATGTTTTCTGAGCTGCAGTAAACAAACACCGTTGCACTTTGTCGTTTATCAAAAACAAACGTAATAAATAATTGTATTTTACTCTCACTTTTGTCAGGCACAAAGTGATGCAAGAGATGCACTGCCTGCCCAGCTAGGTTAGCAAGACCGAAAAACATCAAACTTTGCTGACATCAAACTTAGAGAGGAGAGAACACAAGTTTACCTGATTGTTGTTCCCGCAATTCACTCTCATGGTTTTTTTTATTCTTCCTCTTTTCGTGACCAGAAGGATAGTTTCGCTTTATTTTGTCATGGATGTTGTACACATTAATTGACGCGCTATGACACGAGATGGAGGCGGGGTCTTACGCACCGGTCGCGTGCAGTCTATGGTCGCGTGCAGCGCTGCAGCCACGTAAACAGTTGAGCTGAGTGCCCGAATGGAAGTGAATGAGGCTTTGCGATTTTTTTTTATTATTATTTTTATTTTATCTAGGCCTACGTGAAATTCTTTTATCTAGGCCTAAAAATGTTTTTTTTTTTTTTTTTTTTGGAAGGGCAACCTGAGTCGAGAAGGGCATATGGGCAGTTGCCCGGGCAACCTGAGCAACCCCCCTGTGCACGTCCCTGCCGGTACTCACTATTTTTATTTTAACACATACTCACTATTTCAACAACGTAAGCCAATTATTCCATGCATTACTTCTATATATTAAGTTGCTCAAGCAATTGGTCAAATATGTAACCATGTACTTATATTAAAATCGCAAACATTTTAAATGAAAACTTAAAATTGACAAAAACAACCGACTCTCATGCCTTTTCTTTTGCATTTACATTTTAATACAACAAATCTTGCATGTCACAAAGAACTTGTTTTTCCACCACCAGGAATGAGACGAGTGTCGTTCATTATGTTGCCTTGTGTTGAGGTGCATTGTAGTTTGTATACGGATACTGTATGAACGAGATCGTTATAAATATCCGGATAAGTTACGGCTGGCAAAGTGGCAATAAGGACGGATCTTTACTTAAGCTTGATTGGTGTGGACCCACATCAAATAATAGCATTATCTTCTCTTGATACCGACGAGATGAAGCCAGGCTACTGCTCCCCTCAACTCAAATCTGCGCGCGGCTAGGGGCAGCAGGACAGGTGTCATGTCAACAATATGGCCGCGGTTAGCTACTTCCGGTGTTTGCGAATAAGGTCTATTGAGAGTGTATATAAAAGCATTGAGACTTTTTGAGGATTGAAAAAAAAGGAGAATGGATTTTCTTCATTGTATGGTGGTTGTGTCCACACACTGCAAACACACATTTATATGCAAACACCATATAAAAGTGAATTTTGCATCCGATGAGCCCTTTAAATAGTTAAAGTCAATACAATAGAGATAAACAAAGACAATAGAGATTGCTACGTATTCCCAAAGCTGAAGAGTAGTTGTTAGCTTGTGTTTTCAGTGGCTGATGCATTACCATTCAGTATTAGATCTGCTTCATCCATGTCTGTTTTTAAATCTAGGCTAAAAACATACCTTTTTGAACTAGCATATGGTCAATGATGAAATGTATTGTATTGTGTGTTTTGTTTTTGTGTTTTTTCTTAATGTCATGTGTTGTAAAGCACACTGGTCAACTGGTGTTGTGTTTAGTTGTGCTGTAGAAATAAAATTGACATTGACAATTAGCGCTCGCTCTCCGGCTTGGCTGAACGCCAGCGCTACGCTCATGTGACATGGGTGGACGTCAGCTCAATGCTAGCGCCACGGGTCAAAGCGAGAGCGCAAGTGATTAGCGATTAGCACGATACGCTGTGCCCCTCGGCATCATGGGATGTCAGGTATACAGGTAGGGTTACACCACTTATCCTGCGGAGGAACAATAGCTGACTGACAGCGGTATGTGCGGATACATGCACAGCTCGAGTGAGGCGCAGCGAAACCGGCTGTGAACATGAAAAAAATTTTGAAAAATATCACTAGTTTAATGCTAGTCCGTTTAATGTTTGGAGTCACTGTAAATCAGTCACTAATAGTTAAAGTCCCCCTGTAGTCAACAATTGTATCCCTTAAAACTCATATTTGATCACCAAATTGACATATTTAAAAGTTTTTTCCTTGAAAAAAATGTCTTCATGCCTTAAAATATCTTGAATGTAACTCGACACCCTTGCCTTATTTAGTATGCGCGGTTCTATGAATATGCAGATGAGCCCCGCCTCCACTCACTCCCTCAGCTCAGAGATCCACTGGTTGACGATCACACGTTGATCTGATTGGTTACAAGGTCGTTTGTGACGTCAGAAACACCAGCGATTTCAAACCGTGTTTTTGAGACTGTCTTTGGTTCACTGCAGTTTTAAGCAGAAAATACTCAGCAATGCTGTCGACTTATGAACTTACACAGTGTGTGTCTTAAAGCACATTAAAAACACCACATACACACATAAACAACATTAAAAGCTGGATTTTCAAAAGACGAGTTTTAAGGGATAAAATGATTGACTACAGGGGGACCTTAAAACACTTTAAATCAATTTTAATCAATGTTTTATTCTTTACTTTTATTGTAATTTTTTTCTTATGCTCTTGTGATAATTATTTTTTAATCATTTTTATGCAAAGCACTTTGAATTACCATTGTGTATGAAATGTGCTATGTAAATAAACTTGCCTTGCATATAAATGTGCCAATTCATTTTTTAGATAAACGCTAAACACCTCATAGCAGTCGTTGAGTTCAGCTTGAGGAATATTATATATATGTATTGTTTTGTAAATTACTCAATGACATGTAGTGTGTTGTGTGTGAGGAAGGGAGAGGAGAAACGAGAGAAAGGATCTCCACTTACACGTTTTCCACACGTATTCTCTGGTAGTCGGACAGAATGGCCCCGACGGACACGGCCTCCACACACACCTCCTCCTGAACACACAGATCATCAGATGGAGGACAGATATCAGAGATGCTCGAATCACACACACGCCAACATCATGAACATCATGCAGGGTTCCCACACCTCGGGTAACTACAGGTCCAACACCCTCAAACTCAAGGACTTAATGTGAGGACACCATTCAAGTGAGAGCAAGGTTACGTCGTGTTCCCTTGTAAGATACGTTGTTACAGTTTTGCACGCGTGAACGTCATGGCAACGTACAACACAAAGTACCTTAACGCGAACACACGGGGTAACTCCAGACTAGGCTTGCCGCGATAGACGGTGTTGACGGTGTTACCGGTTTTAAGCCCCATCACCGGTGACATCACTTTCCCACCGTGACACCGCGATGTCTTGACTTTTTTAAAGTATTCGTTTTTGCTAAAATATTTATTTGAATTAATTAAAAATAATAATGATCAATTATTTAGTTCAGAAGAGAGCATACATTATAATTAAAAACTGAACTGCGCAGTGCGTGCCAAGAGCCAGTCACGTCACAGATCAGCAAGCATCAGGAGTCCATTTAGCACGTGTGGAGATGAGAACGAGTCAAATTACAGAAAAGCAAGATAATGGCGGAATGTGTAATTTATTTAGGCCTGTTTTATTTTCTTATTCGTTAATAAACGTTTTATGGTTCTTATTTGTTTGGGCCCACAGTTTGACGATTTTCAGCCTATGCATGGGGTTATTTTTATTCGTTCGTTATGCTAATAAAAGTTCTGTCTATAAATAAAAGTTTTATTATCAGCGAGCCGAGTTGTTTTTTTTTTGTCCATTCAAGCAATTGACGCTGAATTGCCAATTGACGCTTATTTCGAAAGTGAAAGTATAACGCGCACGCATTTAAAAGCTATTTAACCCCCCCGCCCCGCCCCCCATGGTGACACCGGGATTACCGGTGTTGTGACACGTCGATTAACCGGTGGGAAATTTTCCTCACCGCGGCAACCCTACTCCAGACGTGAACACACGTGGGTAACGCCACTGCTGGAACACACAGGGTAACGCCAGACGTGAACACACAGGGTAACTCCAGACGTGAACACACGGGGTAACTCCAGACGTGAACACACAGGGTAACGCCAGACGTGAACACACGGGGTAACGCCAGACCTGAACACACGTGGGTAACGCCACTGCTGGAACACACAGGGTAACGCCAGACGTGAACACACGGGGTAACTCCAGACGTGAACACACGTGGGTAACGCCACTGCTGGAACACACAGGGTAACGCCAGACGTGAACACACAGGGTAACTCCAGACGTGAACACACGGGGTAACTCCAGACGTGAACACACGGGGTAACTCCAGACGTGAACACACGTGGGTAACGCCACTGCTGGAACACACAGGGTAACGCCAGACGTGAACACACAGGGTAACGCCAGACGTGAACACACGGGGTAACGCCAGACGTGAACACACGGGGTAACTCCAGACGTGAACACACAGGGTAACGCCAGACGTGAACACACGGGGTAACGCCAGACGTGAACACACAGGGTAACTCCAGACGTGAACACACGGGGTAACTCCAGACGTGAACACACAGGGTAACGCCAGACGTGAACACACGGGGTAACGCCAGACGTGAACACACAGGGTAACGCCAGACGTGAACACACGGGGTAACGCCAGACGTGAACACACAGGGTAACGCCAGACGTGAACACACAGGGTAACTCCAGACGTGAACACACAGGGTAACGCCAGACCTGAACACACAGGGTAACTCCAGACGTGAACACACAGGGTAACGCCAGACCTGAACACACGGGGTAACTCCAGACGTGAACACACAGGGTAACGCCAGACGTGAACACACGGGGTAACTCCAGACGTGAACACACAGGGTAACGCCAGACGTGAACACACGGGGTAACGCCAGACGTGAACACACGTGGGTAACGCCAGACGTGAACACACAGGGTAACGCCAGACGTGAACACACGGGGTAACTCCAGACGTGAACACACAGGGTAACGCCAGACGTGAACACACGGGGTAACGCCAGACCTGAACACACGGGGTAACGCCAGACCTGAACACACGGGGTAACGCCAGACGTGAACACACAGGGTAACGCCAGACGTGAACACACAGGGTAACGCCAGACGTGAACACACGGGGTAACGCCAGACCTGAACACACGGGGTAACTCCAGACGTGAACACACAGGGTAACGCCAGACGTGAACACACAGGGTAACGCCAGACGTGAACACACGGGGTAACGCCAGACCTGAACACACGGGGTAACGCCAGACCTGAACACACAGGGTAACGCCAGACGTGAACACACAGGGTAACGCCAGACGTGAACACACAGGGTAACGCCAGACGTGAACACACAGGGTAACGCCAGACGTGAACACACAGGGTAACGCCAGACGTGAACACACGGGGTAACGCCAGACCTGAACACACGTGGGTAACGCCACTGCTGGAACACACAGGGTAACGCCAGACGTGAACACACGGGGTAACGCCAGACCTGAACACACGTGGGTAACGCCACTGCTGGAACACACAGGGTAACGCCAGACGTGAACACACGGGGTAACGCCAGACCTGAACACACGTGGGTAACGCCACTGCTGGAACACACAGGGTAACGCCAGACGTGAACACACAGGGTAACTCCAGACGTGAACACACAGGGTAACGCCAGACGTGAACACACAGGGTAACGCCAGACGTGAACACACGGGGTAACGCCAGACCTGAACACACGTGGGTAACGCCACTGCTGGAACACACAGGGTAACGCCAGACGTGAACACACAGGGTAACGCCAGACGTGAACACACAGGGTAACGCCAGACGTGAACACACGGGGTAACGCCAGACGTGAACACACGGGGTAACGCCAGACGTGAACACACGGTGTAACTCCAGACGTGAACACACAGGGTAACGCCACTGCTGGAACACACAGGGTAACGCCAGACGTGAACACACGGGGTAACGCCAGAAGTGAACACACGGTGTAACTCCAGACGTGAACACACGGGGTAACTCCAGACGTGAACACACGGGGTAACGCCAGACGTGAACACACGGGGTAACGCCAGACGTGAACACACAGGGTAACGCCAGACGTGAACACACGGGGTAACGCCACTGCTGGAACACACAGGGTAACGCCAGACGTGAACACACGGGGTAACGCCAGAAGTGAACACACGGTGTAACTCCAGACGTGAACACACAGGGTAACGCCAGACGTGAACACACAGGGTAACGCCAGACGTGAACACACGGGGTAACGCCAGACGTGAACACACGGGGTAACTCCAGACGTGAACACACGGGGTAACGCCAGACGTGAACACACGGGGTAACGCCAGACGTGAACACACGGGGTAACTCCAGACGTGAACACACGGGGTAACTCCAGACGTGAACACACGGGGTAACGCCAGACGTGAACACACGGGGTAACGCCAGACGTGAACACACGGGGTAACTCCAGACGTGAACACACAGGGTAACGCCAGACGTGAACACACGGGGTAACTCCAGACGTGAACACACGGGGTAACGCCAGACGTGAACACACGGGGTAACGCCAGACGTGAACACACGGGGTAACTCCAGACGTGAACACACGGGGTAACTCCAGACGTGAACACACGGGGTAACGCCAGACGTGAACACACGGGGTAACGCCAGACGTGAACACACGGGGTAACTCCAGACGTGAACACACAGGGTAACGCCAGACGTGAACACACGGGGTAACTCCAGACGTGAACACACGGGGTAACTCCAGACGTGAACACACGGGGTAACGCCAGACGTGAACACACGGGGTAACGCCAGACGTGAACACACGGGGTAACTCCAGACGTGAACACACGGGGTAACGCCAGACGTGAACACACGGGGTAACTCCAGACGTGAACACACAGGGTAACGCCAGACGTGAACACACGGGGTAACGCCAGACGTGAACACACGGGGTAACGCCAGACGTGAACACACGGGGTAACGCCAGACGTGAACACACAGGGTAACGCCAGACGTGAACACACGGGGTAACTCCAGACGTGAACACACGGGGTAACGCCAGACGTGAACACACGGGGTAACGCCAGACGTGAACACACGGGGTAACGCCAGACGTGAACACACGGGGTAACTCCAGACGTGAACACACGGGGTAACGCCAGACGTGAACACACGGGGTAACGCCAGACGTGAACACACGGGGTAACTCCAGACGTGAACACACGGGGTAACTCCAGACGTGAACACACGGGGTAACGCCAGACGTGAACACACGGGGTAACGCCAGACGTGAACACACGGGGTAACTCCAGACGTGAACACACAGGGTAACGCCAGACGTGAACACACGGGGTAACTCCAGACGTGAACACACGGGGTAACGCCAGACGTGAACACACGGGGTAACGCCAGACGTGAACACACGGGGTAACTCCAGACGTGAACACACGGGGTAACTCCAGACGTGAACACACGGGGTAACGCCAGACGTGAACACACGGGGGAACGCCAGACGTGAACACACGGGGTAACTCCAGACGTGAACACACAGGGTAACGCCAGACGTGAACACACGGGGTAACTCCAGACGTGAACACACGGGGTAACTCCAGACGTGAACACACGGGGTAACGCCAGACGTGAACACACGGGGTAACGCCAGACGTGAACACACGGGGTAACTCCAGACGTGAACACACGGGGTAACGCCAGACGTGAACACACGGGGTAACTCCAGACGTGAACACACAGGGTAACGCCAGACGTGAACACACGGGGTAACGCCAGACGTGAACACACGGGGTAACGCCAGACGTGAACACACGGGGTAACGCCAGACGTGAACACACAGGGTAACGCCAGACGTGAACACACGGGGTAACTCCAGACGTGAACACACGGGGTAACGCCAGACGTGAACACACGGGGTAACGCCAGACGTGAACACACAGGGTAACGCCAG